GGGCTACTGAAGGGCTGGCTGTAAAGGCGGCATGGAACGGTGAGTGGAGGAGAGTTCAGTACTGGGTTCGCCCCAGCAGGGGGCTGATGAGCGTAGGTGGGGTGTGTGTGCAGCAGTTACAGGATCAGACACTCCAGGGCCAGGGCCAGTTCAGGTCTTGACATCCAGCAAGGGCATCCGTTTGTGTTGGTAGCCGCTCTGCCAGCCATGGCCCACCTGCGGGAGAGGAGACAGTCCTGGGGCGCCAGTGGCACAGCTTTTGAAGGAACGCTTCGCTAGTAATGGCTCTGGTTTTTAAAGACTGGATGTCTGGAGCCCACGCCACCTCCCAACCCTGCCTGGTTCTCCCTGCCCCCAAGCACTCACCTTGAGGTCTCCTATGTCAGCAAGCAGCTCTTGCTCAGCCTCATGCAGCTCTTCAGCAGGGTCGTAGCTGTACATGGGGAGCAAGTGGTGGCGAAGCCGGTCCACCCTGGGAGATGGGAGACCAGTGTGGGCGCCTGGCTGACTGCCCCGCCTCCACCCTTCCTGCCAGGATGAGCCCATGGCCCTTACATGCCCATTCCTGCAGTGGCCTCTCCCCAGGGGGTAAACTGAGGTCAAGGCAGGGAGGTATAACTTCAGTGTGGGTGGGGTGGGGAGGGAGGGCATTTTAGGATTATGTGGAGGACTGGGGTCCTAGGGGGTGAGATTTCAGCAGAATGGTGGGGAAGTTGCACTGGGCAGCTAGCTCACCCACGGGAGACTCACCGCTTTTTCTTCTGTATGTACATTACCTGCAACAGAGAAACGGTACTGGGGAGGTGCAGGCCCGAGCCAGAGCGGAGCCCCCCTCTACACCCTCTTCCCGAGACAGCAGGATGGCTGAGGGGACTGTGTGCAGGTTGTACATGCCCAGCTCTGCCACAGCAAAAGCTGTGTGGGCGTGCATGTGTGTCTCATGCAAGCTTACCACGGCCACCACCACCCCGACTAGGGTGATGAGGAAGAAGGGGCCCAGCACGTAGCCCACCATGGAGTCGCTGTTGGCCTCGGGGACAGTGGGCACCGTGGTGTTACTCATGACATCGGCAGTGGCGGCCTGAGCCAGAGAGCCAGGTAGTCAGCATGGGCCAGTGTGGCACCTCGGGAGGGTGCCTCTCCCGGGCTCCCTGCGGAGGAGGGTGAGAGGTCATCCACTTTCGAGGCTGGCGTCCCAACTCCGGATACACACTCCCACCCCCCACCCCTGGAACTGGAGGTCTAGAAATTGAAGATCAGACCCTGGAACTGGGGATCCCCAGGTCATGCTGAGCGTACCCCTCCAGTAACTGCTGGGGGTGGGGGGCAGAAGGCTGATCCGGTCTAGCTCCTATCCACCAATCAGGACAGGGCCCGGCTGCCCTGGCCAAATGCTTGCCAGCTTGGGAAGAAATTAATCTGGCTCCTGGTTGTTGTCCTTGCCCTCCTGGGCCACCGGAGAGGTATTACCCACCCAGGCGGGCAGCTGGGAGGCACAGAAAGGCATGGCCCGCAGCATAGGGATGAGGTGACCGCAGTTCACAGAATTCATCTCTGTCCAGATCTAATCAGACTTTTCAGGCCACTGGCTGGCTCTGTGACTTGGGTTCTCTGCCCTCCTTGGCCCTGGTGTCACCTGAAATATTCGAAGGGGCTTTAAAAAGTTCGTGGAAAAAATAATACGGGGCTTTCCCCACGAACATTTTGAAGGTCCCTCATGAGCTGGGATCCCTCCCCTCCCAGCATCATGTGTGTGTGTGTGGGGGGAGACAAGTGGGGAGAGAATGCTGTGCTTGTGCCGAATCTGCAAAGTGATGTCACTTTGGTCCCCACCCCAGGCTCGTCCAGGTCCCTCCCTCTCCTGCCTGGAGTGACAGGAGGGGTCAGCATCCAACCTCACATACACACTAAGTCCCTGTGTGGGAGGGCTGCGCTCGGGTGCCTTCAGAACCGACCCGGGTTCGCCTGGGTCTCCAGTGTGAGCTACCTGCCCCGTGTTCATGGGGCATCGTCTTGCTGGTACCCAATCGCATGCTCACAGTGCCCCGGTGGAGGGGGCATGCCGGAGGGTGCCAGGCCGCCCCTAAGATGCGAGCCAGCAGTGACGGGCGTTGGTTCCCACGGCGCTGGGGGGCTGAGGCCGGAGAGGAGGGTGCTTGGGGGCGAACAGAGGGGCCACCCTGCGACCGGGCATCCTGGCATCACCTGTGTCCCCGCTCAGCAGCCCTACAGCCCCGCCAAACCGGCCATGCCTTACCTCCCACCGCTGCAGCCCCGACAGGAACGCCCTCGTTGGCTCCAAGGCCCCGGAAGAGCCAGGAGCCGCGTGATCAAAGGACCCGGGGAAATGGGCGTGGCCTCAGCGCCAGGGCGCAGCCAATCCGTGACGGAGGGCGGGACGGCCCGAGACCTTTGGGGAGGGGCAGCCGTTCTTCTATGTCCCCCCTGGGGCCCTCCTCTGGTTTCCTATTTGCAGTTACTTGAATAAAGAAAAATATCCTTTTCTGGCTTGGCGTGGTTTGTGTTGGTGACCTGGGGCCTGAGGTGGTAGGTAGGGCTGAGAGGGTCTTGCCAGGGAAGGTATTCATTCTCCCAAGGGAAGGAGGCAGCACTGGGTGTGCCTCCCAGGAAGGAAGTGGGCATGGCCACAAAACGTTTTATTTACAAAATATACAGAGTGCTATACAACAAGCCCTCCTGGGAGTTTACATCAAAGCCAAGTTGCGGAGAGGCAGTTCTACTAGGGCAGCGGTTCTCAACCCCCTTGGGGGCTGAATGACCCTTTCATAAGGGTTACCCGATTCGTAAGTTATGACGTAGCAACGGAAATAATTTTATGGTTGGGGCGTGGTAGCACAACGTGGACTATAACAGGGTGACGGTTGAGAACCACTGCACTGGGGCAACCCCAGGTTATGTCAGTCTGGGCATGGGGGCCTAGGTCCCCAGGCCTTCCAAGACTTCAGCATCCCACCATCCCAGCACATTAGCC